AAAACCCCAGCCCCAAAACCCCAGCCCCAAAACCCCAGCCCCTCGGGTGCCAGACCTGAAAGTTGACGTCGGCCCCGTTGTTGACGAGGAGCTCTAGGCACAGGGCCCCGTTGGTGGAGACGGCAGCAAAGTGCAAGGGGGTGAAGCCCTTCTCGTTAGGCTGATTGACGTTGGCGCCGTAATTCACCAGCTCGTTGGCCACGGCATCTTGGCCCATGTAACAGGCAATGTGAAGTGCAGTGTTTCCAAAAGAATTTGGTTCATCGATCTGCGGGAGCAACAAACCCCGGAGGATTTGGGGAGTCAGGGACACACAAAAATCACAGAATCTTCTAGGTTGGAAGGGACCTTCAAGATCATCTTGTCCAACCGTCAACCTCACTGACAAAAATAGACACCCCCACAACAAACAAGGAGCATCATCACTAAACCAGACCTCCCAGTACCACATCAACCCGGCTTTTGAACACCTCCAGGGATGGGGCCTCAACCCCCTCCCTGGGCAGCCCATTCCAAGGGCTGAGAACCCTTTCAGGGAAAAAAATTTTCCTAATATCCAGCCTGAACCTCCCCTGGCACAACCTGAGGCCATTTCCTCTTGTCCTGTCGCCTGTGACTTGAGAGAAGAGACCGACCCCCATCTCTCTACACCCTCCTTTCAGGTCTCCTCCCCTCAATAAGGTCTCCCCTCAGCCTTCTCTTCTCCAGGCTGAATAACCCCAGCTCCCTCAGCCTCTCCTCATCAGACTTATTCTCCAGACCCCTCACCAAAAAGGCAGCTGTGAACCCCCAGGGCTCCCACCACCCCCCAGCACCCTCTGGCTCTGGACTGGCCCATGCCCAAGCCCAAGCCCACCCTGCTCGTAGCCACAGGGGTCTCACCTCGACTCCCAGCCTCAGCAGGTGACGCACGACTTCGATCTGGCCGCTGGCCGCCGCGGTGTGCAGCAGGGTGTAGCCCTTCTTGTCCTTACACATCACATCAGCTCCTCGGGCCACCAGCAGCTTCAGAACTTCCAAATGTCCTGCCCGGGAGAGAGAGGTGAGAGCCAGGGCACCCCAGAACATGGAGCAGCCTCTGGGGAGCTCCACCAGCCTGGAAGGTGAATCTACAGGCCAAGCAATGAGGGAGAAGAAACTGGAGTGATGCCCACGGGGAAAACCTACCCAGGAAAGCTGCCCAGTGGATGGGCTGGCGGTCCTTCTTGTCACAAGTGCTCAGGCTGGCCCCTTTGTTCAACAGCAGGTTCACCATCTGGACAGGGGAGAAGGGGTGAGAGGTGAATCATGGAATTGCCCCGGTTGGAAGGGACCTTTCAGATCATTGAGTCCAACCATCAACCCAACGCTGACAAACTCACCGCTGACCCGTGTCCCTCAGCTCAACATCTGCCAGGGATGGTGACTCCACCACTGCCCTGGGCAGCCTCTTCCAGTGCTTAGTAACCCTTTCCACGTGAAGATCTTCCTAATTTCCATCCTAAACTTCCCCTGGTGCAACTTGAGGCTATTTCCTTTTATCCCATTGCCTGTTCCTTGGGAGAAGAGACCGACCCCCCCGGCTACACCCTCCTTTCAGGGAGTTGTAGAGAGAGATGAGGTCTCCCCTCAGCCCTCTTTTCTCCAGGCTGAACCTCCCCAGCTCCCTCAGTCTCTCCTCACAAGTTCTCCAGACTCTTCTCCTTGTCCTCCAGACCCTTCACCAGCTCCGTTGCCCTTCTCTGGACACGCTCCAGAAAAACCCAATTCCTCCCCGTTTGTGTGGGCACCTGCAGAGCCCAGACCCAGGAAAGAGGGAGAGGTTGGGGGTCTCCAGTGCCCCCCGACCCACCTCCAGGTGGCCGCTGTGCACGGCGTGGTGCAGCGCCGTGCGGCCCGTGCGGTCGGCCACGTTGACAGTGCTCAGCAGGGGGATGATGGCCTCCACGCACTTGGTGGCCCGGTTGGCGGCAGCGACGTGCAGCGGCGTTTGCCAGTACTTGTCGCGGGCGTTGACGTCCGCCGAGTGCTTCAGGAGGAGGTGAAGTGCCTTCTGGAGGGAGCAGAAGGAAGCAGAGCTCGACCCCGACCCACAGGAACCCTCCAGCTGGGTCAGGGAGCTGCGGCTTGGTCCATCAGCACATCCAGGGCTGCCCAGATCCACCCCAAGAGCCAGAGGGGGCTGAGCTGGAACCACCTGCCACGCTCAGGTCTGGCCTCTCCTCACCCCCCAAAAGGAAAGGACTCAGAATCACAGAATCTTCTAGGTTGGAAGGGACCTTCAAGATCATCTTGTCCAACCGTCAACCTCATTTTGACAAAAATAGACACCCTCACAACAAACAAGGAGCATCATCACTAAACCAGACCTCCCAGCACCACATCAACCCGGCTTTTGAACACCTCCAGGGATGGGGCCTCAACCCCCTCCCTGGGCAGCCCATTCCAAGGGCTGAGAACCCTTTCAGGGAAAAAATTGTTCCTAATATCCAGCCTGAACCTCCCCTGGCGCAACTTGAGGCCATTTCCTCTCGTCCTGTCGCCTGTGACTTGAGAAAAGAGACCGACCCCCATCTCTCTACCCCCTCCTTTCAGGGAGTTGGAGAGAGCAAGAAGGTCTCCCCTCAGCCTCCTCTTCTCCAGGCTGAACACCCCCAGCTCCCTCAGCCTCTCCTCATCAGACTTATTCTCCAGACCCCTCACCATCTTTGTCGCCCTTCTCTGGACCCGCTCCAGCCCCTCAATGTCTTTTTTATGGTAGGGGGTCCCAAAACTGGACACAGCACTCGAGGTGAGGCCTCACCAGTGCCCAGTACAGGGGAAACAGACCCGGCAGCAAAGCAACCTCCTGGGTTTTAGGGACCCACAGTAACTGTCCACACACATTCCCAGCAAACACCCTCAGTAGAGGTTTACACTGAAGTGTTTTGCCCCGTGTCTGTGCCCGTTGTGGCAGTTGGAGCTGGTGTGTGGGGACCTGCCCTCGCTGACAGCCAGGGCTTTGTTGTCCCCTGGCTCCAGCCAACACCAACCAAAGAGCCTCTCGCTCTCCGGCAACTCCAAGCAGGACAAAGTTAAGTGGGATGAAGTTAAGCCCACAAAAAGCTAAAACCTTGGGAAATCTTTCCAACGAGATCCGTTGGAATCAGCTCCTGAGAGAAAGGGTGAAAGCTCCCTCAAAGAAACGTAAAGCTGGATTAGACAAAGCCCTGGGGAAAGGGGGGGAAAGGCAGGGAGGAGGGTGTTGTGGGGAAAACACACGTGCTGACTCCTGGAGGATGGAGGGAAGGGAGCCAAGGAGATTTAGGGTGGTTTTTTTTTCTTCCAGCTCTCATTTTCAGCTTCTCCCCTCTAAGGAGACCACCCACCTCAGCCAAAAGCAGGCGAGAGGGGAAAGAGAAGCAGCAGCACAGACATCAAACCTACCTCGTTGCGAGAAGCCGCCGCGCGGTGTAACGGGGTGAGCCAAACCGTGTCCTTCGCGTTAACGTTAGCACCTGGGGAGGAACACAAGGAAGGGGTTGGGGGGCAGAAAAGTGAGCAGCTGCCCCCGTGGCAGGGCTGCAGCCACCTCCAGGGCACCCCCCGGGCAGAAGTGAGGGTTCTGCTGAGAGAGGGGACGTGGCACCAAGCTCTAGGTGGGACAAAACCTGTGAAATGCAAGAGGAACAAGCTATGCCCCGTGGCAAACGGTGCCGGTGCAGCGCAAGGGACATGGCAAGGCACAGGCCAAAGGGACTACACATCCCAGAGGAGCAGCTTCCCCACCGAGCTAGAAAAACACAGTAGAAACCCAGCAAGCAGGTCTGCTCCTCGCTGTAAAACAAGGCTGTTCGAGACAGAAAAGCAGAGCGTTTCGTGTTGGGAGCTGCGGTGGCTGGGGGCTACACCTCTGAATGAGAAGGAGAGGTGAGACACTGTTGTGCTGTCCCAGCTCCAGATCCGAGCTGGGCACCCAAGTCATAGACTCATAGACTGGTTTGGGTTGGAAGGGACCTCAAAGATCATCTAGTTCCAACCCCCCTGCCCTGGGCAGGGACACCTCCCACCAGAGCAGGTTGCTCAAGGCCCCATCCAGCCTGGCCTTGAACCCTTCCAGGGATGGGGCATCCACGACCTCCCTGGGCAACCTGTTCCAGTGTCTCACCACCCTCACTGTAAAGAATTTCTTCCTAGTATCTAACCTAAATCTCCCCTCCACCAGCTTAAAACCATTGCCCCTTGTCCTGTCGCTTCTTTGTAAAGAGTCCCTCTCTGGCTCTTCTGTAGGCTCCTTTCAGGTACTGAAAGGCCGTTAGAAGGTCTCCCCGGAGCCTTCTCTTCTCCAGGCTGAACAACCCACCATCCCCAAAGCCCCTGCCTTTCTTTGGTGCCGAGAACTCAACATACAGGCCTGAAAAAAATCAGCACAGGGCACGTAAGGGCATTGCATGCTCTGCACATGGGGCTGAACATCCCCGATCCTGTTTAACAAGCCCTCGCCAAAGCATTTCCCCAGGTCTCTCCTTGGCAGGGTCACAGAATCACAGAATCTTCTAGGTTGGAAGGGACCTTCAAGATCATCTTGTCCAACCGTCAACCTCATTTTGACAAAAATAGACACCCCCACAACAAACAAGGAGCATCATCACTAAACCAGACCTCCCAGCACCACATCAACCCGGCTTTTGAACACCTCCAGGGATGGGGCCTCAACCCCCTCCCTGGGCAGCCCATTCCAAGGGCTGAGAACCCTTTCAGGGAAAAAATTTTTCCTAATATCCAGCCTGAACCTCCCCTGGTGCAACTTGAGGCCATTTCCTCTCGTCCTGTCGCCTGGGACTTGAGAAAAGAGACCGACCCCCATCTCTCTACCCCCTCCTTTCAGGGAGTTGGAGAGAGCAAGAAGGTCTCCCCTCAGCCTCCTCTTCTCCAGGCTGAACACCCCCAGTTCCAACACAAGCCAAAACTGAGCAGAACCCCCCGTTTTTCAGCTGAGCCCTCCCCGTGAGCAAGTGAAATCTGCTCCCCTGAGCCTCTGCCATCTCCACCATCTCCATCCCCTCCTCCCAGCACTGAACACCTTGCACACATCCCCCCTCCTGGCTCCATTTCCACCTCTGCTATTTCAGTTCCAAGACGCTTTTCTGTCTGAACAAACCTCTTAGGATTATGGCAACATTTCCTAATCTTCCCCTGGCTGCCACCCCACACTGGCTTAAGCGTGAGCACAGGGTTCTTTGGAAGGTGACCAAAAGCTCTTGCTCCGCCACCCCAAAGACCAGGGGAGATTAAAAAAGCACCTTGAAGGCCGGGGCAGCTCTGGAGCCCGTGCCTGGAGCCTTGGCCCTTACCTGACAGAATGAGGAGCTCGAGGATTGCGACATCTCCGATGTAGGCAGCAGCGTGCAGCGGCGTTCGGCGTTCTTGGTCCTGAGCGGGGACAAAACCCGTCTGTGAGCGTGGAGGGCAGGGAGATCCCTCCTCTGCTCCCCTCCTCCGCCTCCCCACAGCACCTCAGGAGGGGAGACAGGGAGGAAACTGCCCGAAATCAGCACCCTCCTGTGACATTTTGGGGTGCGCAGCCCTTTCGGCGCACCCCGGGTGCTGGGGCGGCCGGAGCAGAGGGGACCTGGGCCATAACTAGTTGGGGGGACTGAGGTGGGACTAGATGACCTTTGGAGGTCCCTTCCAGCCTGGGCAATTCTATGATTAACCCCAGGATGAGATGGGGACGCTGGGAGGGCTCTGGTTGCTCCCCCCAACTCCCCAGAGACCGACCCGACCTGGCCCCGGCGCTACCGGACTTAACGAATGGCAAAGCACCTGAGATCCCAGATGAAACCCTGACAGGGCACAGCCTGGTCTCATCCCACATAGTTTTATCCTCTGGGCCAACAATAAAACCCAAACTCCACAGAATTAGAGCCCAGAGTCACCACCCCCAGCTGCCCAGAAGCCCCTCTCTGATCCCGGGCTGGATGAGCCAAAGGAAAAACCCCTTTCCCTTGGGTCACCTCTGCCTCCAGGAGCTTGGTCCAGGCTCTCCCTGGAGAACGGGCCACCTACCAAAGCCAGGACAACAAGGGGAGAGACAGAGGACCACAACTCCTTCCAAGCCCCTTAATTTTGTGTTTGGGGAGGGGGGAAAAAACGTAATTGGGTTAAAAACTCTTTGGAAAAAGGTGGCGGTTTCATTATTTTTTTTTGTTTGGTAACAACTCGTGCTGGCCACAACCAGGCAGGAGGATGTGAAAGTGAAACCCAGCTGGCAGGTCAGCCGACAAAAGCAACAACATTTCCTAAACCTGCACACAAAAAGGAAATTAAGTGTTAACAATCGGGGTTTTATTCCTCCAGCAGCTGCGCGAGAGCTGGGCAAAACAATCCCAACCCTCTCTCCCGACAAGAGAGGACGTAGGAGCCGCCGGGTCCCCGACCGGAACAGTCTTGGGGGGAAAAAAACCAAAATCCCCACATTATCTTTGTGTAAAAAGTGAAGAGGGGATGGGATGGGTGGTCCTGCTGGCCATCTATGATTCTATGAATTGCCCAGGCCGGAAGGGACCTCCAAAGGGCATCCAGTCCCACCCCCCCGCAGTCAGCAGGGACACCCCCAACTAGACCAGGTTGCCCCATCGAGCCTCCCCTTGAATATCTCCAGGGAAGGGGCCTCAACCACCTCCCTGGGCAACCTGTCCCAGTGCTCCACCACCCTCACAGTGAAGAACCCTCTCCTCATCTCCAGTCTCAATCTGTTCCCCTCCAGCTTGAAGCCATTGCCCCTCGTCCTGTCACTGCAGCCCTTTCTAAACAGGCTCTCCCCAGCCTTCCTGTAGCCCCCCCTCAGGTACTGGAAGGCTGCTCTTAGGTCTCCCCGGAGCCTCCTCTTCTCCAGGCTGAACAACCCCAGCTCCCTCAGCCTGTCCTCGGAGCAGAGGTGCTCCATCCCCCTCATCATCCTCGTGGCCCTCCTCTGGACCCTCTCCATCAGGTCCATGTCCTTCTTCTATTGAGGGCTCCAGCCCTGCACACAAGACTCCAGGTGAGGTCTCACCAGAGCAGAGTCAAGTGGCAGAATCCCCTCTCTGGACCTGCTGGCAACGCAGCTTTTGATGCAGCCCAGGATGGGATTGGCCTTCTGGGCTGTGAGTGCCCACTGCCTGCTCGTGTCCAGCTTCTCCTCCACCAGCACCCCCAAGTCCCTTTCCTCAGGGCTGCTTTCTAATCCCTCACCCCCCAGCCTGTACTGATCACAGAATCACAGAATCAATCTTCTAGGTTGGAAGGGACCTTCAAGATCATCTTGTCCAACCGTCAACCTCATTTTGACAAAAATAGACACCCCCACAACAAACAAGGAGCATCATCACTAAACCAGACCTCCCAGCACCACATCAACCCGGCTTTTGAACACCTCCAGGGATGGGGCCTCAACCCCCTCCCTGGGCAGCCCATTCCAAGGGCTGAGAACCCTTTCAGGGAAAAAATTGTTCCTAATATCCAGCCTGAACCTCCCCTGATGGGGAGGATTGTTCCGGCCCAGGTGCAGAACCTTGTATTTGCTCTTGTTGAACCTCATGAGGTTCACCTGTCCCTTCCCGGGACACCGGCCAGCGGCCACCCTTGACCCCGGGGTTTCACACCACGAGCCCCAGGTGTGCACTGGCCCCAGAGAAACAAAGAAGAATGTGCCAAAAATCCAACCCGAGCCGGGAGCGCCACGGTTAGTGCCACAAACCAGAGGAGACGGCGAAGCAGAACGGGCTGCTCTTGCCCGGAGCTCACAATTCAGCCCAGCTTTTTGGGCTGAAAGCGCAGGGATCGCTGACCCGGCACCACTCCAACCCTGCCACCCTGCCAACCCGCCACCTCTCCCAGCCTCCCCCTCAAAACCAGCCTCTGCCAAGGCTCAGGAGACCCAAACACTTCTGGGTCGCCATCCCAAAGCAGAAAAACATCAAACCAGTGAGGCAGCAAAGCTGAGCCTCCAGGAAAAGTCCTCCCACCCCACCCCTCCACAGCCTCTTGGTGATGCTCTCCATGGCCAAGAGCTTGAGGAGGCTCATGCCATCTCCTGGGATGGGGCAGGAGTCCTGGTCTTCCACACGCCCCATTATTTTAACTGCAAATATGTGCTTCAATATAGTTCACTCTATATGATTTTAAAATGATTTAAAATTGACAAGATGAAGAAAAACAAGTGGCAAAGTCGAGACAAGAGGACAAAGCTGCGCAGCAAGTGGCAGCCCAACCCCGGAGCAGAATCCAGTCATCTTTTTGCTTCAAAACCCCAGCTCTGATCATTCTTGCCAAAAAGAGTCCCCTCGCCTTGATGGCACCCCCATTTCACCCCCCGAGCCTCTGTGGGAGGGGACGGGGAGCGCAGCACTCACCAGTACATTAATGTTCTCCTTCTGGTTCAGCAGCGACCGCACCTCCTCTACATCGCGGTTGAAGATGGCTTGGACCAGAGGAGGCTACAAAGGGAAAAGCAGAAGCAAGTCATGATGGTGGCACCACGGGGAGGACACGTGGAGGGGGAGGACACGCGGCGTCACGGGGTGGCAGAGACTTCACACCAGCCCGACTGAGCTGGGACCTCGCTCCACGAACGAGCCAGAACCAGCCCCACCAGCACCTTCCTCACTTCCACAGCTCCACCAGCACCAGGGACCAATTTCCAAGCCAGAAAAAGTACTTTTCCTGGTGGTCCGTTGGCGAACAGACCAAGGAACCATTGGAAAAGCCTCCCCACCTCCCGAGTCCACGACAGAGCTCTGCAGAGAGTGAACTGGAGTTTCCAAGGCACAACCAGGGGACACCTCACACTCTCCTGGTGAACTTAGTGATGTTCTCCTGCCTTTCAAGACGCTGCCCTGGTCCCGACGGCACAAAGAGCCCAGCAAAGCCCAGCCTGGAGCTCCTCCTGTTCCCCACAACCCACATTTCCAAGAAGTTATGGAACAGACCTGGGAGGTGATGCCCTGGGAGCTGATGCCCTGGGCTGCCGGACCTGAGCCGCCCGAGCTGTCGGTGCTGCCCAACCCCTGGGCACTCCCCCAAGAACCCCAATTCTCCTTTCACAGAATCACAGAATCCCAGAATCTTCTAGGTTGGAAGGGACCTTCAAGATCATCTTGTCCAACCGTCAACCTCATTTTGACAAAAATAGACACCCCCACAACAAACAAGGAGCATCATCACTAAACCAGACCTCCCAGCACCACATCAACCCGGCTTTTGAACACCTCCAGGGATGGGGCCTCAACCCCCTCCCTGGGCAGCCCATTCCAAGGGCTGAGAACCCTTTCAGGGAAAAAATGTTTCCTAATATCCAGCCTGAACCTCCCCTGGCGCAACTTGAGGCCATTTCCTCTCGTCCTGTCACCTGTGACTTGAGAAAAGAGACCGACCCCCACCTCTCTACCCCCTCCTTTCAGGGAGTTGGAGAGAGCAAGAAGGTCTCCCCTCAGCCTCCTCTTCTCCAGGCTGAACACCCCCAGCTCCCTCAGCCTCTCCTCATCAGACTTATTCTCCAGACCCCTCACCAGCTTTGTTGCCCTTCTCTGGCCCTTCACAGACCTGGAAATGTCATTTCCAAACCACAGGTTCCTTGGGGCTGCAGCTGCTCTGGGTCCCCGAGAGCCCAGCGCTCCCCGGCTCCAGCCAGACCAAACGCTGCTGTTTTTGTTTTTCCTGGGTACTGCACCCCCCCAGCACCCCCACATCTGGGTCTAACGGCCAAAAGCAATGAGCCCCAATTATCTCAGCTTCTCAGAAGGAGAAAAAGCTCCGTGGCTTCGTTTTCAGGGCGATCCCTTCTCCTCCCCCTGCCCCAACCCCTCCGCTCAACCCCAACCATCAAAGTAAAAAAGCAGTTAAAGACAGAGGAGGGGGAAACACATCCCGGGTCAGAGGGAAGGGGTGAGTCATTCCCCTGGAATGCAGCAGACTCAGCATCACTCGGTAAGACAGTTTTTTTAAAAAAAAATAAAAAAAAAAAGGTTTTAGGGGATTAAAAAAAAAAAAAAAGCATCTCAGACGATAATTATGCCCTGAGCAGCCTCCGGTGGCGCGCGGTTTGCAGCAGAGCTGGGTCTGACACACCCACCCACCATTCACAGGGAAAGCTCAATGTTTTGGTTACCAAAAAAAAAAAAAAAAAAAGGGGGAAAAACTAAAAAAAAAAAGTTCTATTTAAATCCCAGCTCAATCCCTCGTCCTCACCCTCCAACGGCTCCATCCGCCCCGCCAGGCTCCCAGCCACTCGCTGCATTCACCCTACCGGCCCCCTGGGAGCATCAATATTTGGTTTTCGGGGGGGCCCCGAGCCCCCCAGGTCCTGAATTGAGGTAATTAAAGGCAGTTTATGTCAAAAGGCACAGGGAAAAGCAGGAGTCTGAGAGGGGGTCGCTGCCCCGGTGACAGGGTAGGGACAGCGGCCACAAGCCGGGGGAAGGAGATGGGATGCTCAGGGATGGGGGGTCCCAGGTGAACCCCAAGAGCGTCCCCAAAAATGCGCTGGGGACACCCCGCACTCCAGGAGTGTCCCCAAAACCGTGCTGGGGACACCCCACACCTCAGAATTGTCCCCAAAACTGTGCTGGGGACGCTCCACACCTCAGAATTGTCCCCAAAACCGTGCTGGGGACACCCCACACCTCAGAATTGTCCCCAAAACCGTGCTGGGGACACTCCACACCTCAGAATTGTCCCCAAAACCGTGCTGGGGACACTCCACACTTCAGAATTGTCCCCAAAACCATGCTGGGGACACCCCACACCCCAGGAGCATCCCCCAAAACCAGCAGGGTCACTCTCCACCCCAGAGGCGTCCCCGGAACCCGACAGGGACACCCTACACCCCAGAAGTATACCCAAAACTGCACTGAGAACACCCCACACCCCATGAGCGTCCCCAAAACCCGATGAGGACACCCTGGAGCCTGGGCATGTCCCCCAGAACCCGAGGGGGACACTCTGCACCCTAGGGGGTTCCCCAAAACCCGAGGGGGACGCCCTGCAGCCTGGAAGCCTCCCCAAAACCATGCTGAGGACATCATGCACCCCAGAATCGTCCCCAAAACCCGTGGGGGACACCATGCACCCCGGGAGCACCCCCAAAACCATGCTGGGCACATCCTGCACCCCAGAATTGTCCCCAGAACCCGAGGGGGGACACTCTGCACCTTAGGGGTTCCCCAAAAACCGAGGGCGACGCCGTGCACCCCGGGAGCACCCCCAAAACCGTGCTGGGCACATCTTGCACCCCAGAATCATCCCCAGAACCCGAGGGGGACACTCTGCACCTTAGGGGTTCCCCAAAAACCGAGGGCGACGCCGTGCACCCCGGGAGCACCCCCAAAACCGTGCTGGGCACATCTTGCACCCCAGAATCATCCCCAGAACCCGAGGGGGACACTCTGCACCTTAGGGGTCCCCCAAAACCCGAGGGGGACGCCCTGCAGCCTGGAAGCGTCCCCAAAACCGTGCTGAAGACATTGTGCACCCCG